CCTCCCTGGAGCAGACACCCTGCCCATTTCCAGAGCCTCTCCTGATGTAGCCTGAGAGACCCACAGCACAAATGGGGAAACTGAGGCCCAGAGAGGGGCAGTCAACTGATTCCCAGCCAGGGATCTCCTGCCTCTCTTTCTCCCCTCATTTATCAGCAGCCCTGGTCCAGGCAGGCAGTGTCATTAGTTATATCCTGGCTCTTTGGGTGGGACAGTTGGGGGAAGGGGAGCTCAGCAGATGTGACTGAAGACCTGCTTTTATGGACACATGAGCCCCAGGAAGCCCCAGCAGAGGCTTCCTGTAAACCCACCAATGCAACCGGCTGAGGAAAGCCAGAAGGGGCTAAAGAGGACAGTGAGGTTTTATTTAGGACTGGTCCTCACAGGTTCCCTGGATGTTGGAGGAACTTGGTATAGAGTTATCTGGTTAGAAATGAGGACCCCAACTCCCCAGAAGATGCAACCCTCATGGGTGGCCGGAGGCAGTGAGGAATCCATATGAAACTCACTGTGGATTTCTAGATGGAGCTAGCACAGCAGAAATGGACAGACAGGGTGGCAGGATGGGACAGACAGGGGGAAGCAGGAGGCAGGAGGGGAAGGCATTGTGCCTTGGCTGGGCCGGCTGCCTTGCCAATCCTTGGGGGCAGTGCTTGTTCCTCTGGCTCCTTGCCAGGACCCCCGTACCAGCCTCAATGCCTTGTGGCATTGTGCCTTGGCTGGGCCGGCTGCCTTGCCAATCCTTGGGGGCAGTGTTCCTCTGGCTCCTTGCCAGGACCCCCGTACCAGCCTCAATGCCTGGCAAGTTGTGGTGTTGGGCAAGTGTTTGATGAATCAATGAATGAAGGAATGAGGTCCACAGAGAAATTATCTTCCCCTGGCTTCATCTCCCAGGTCCCCTCTTCTCCCTCTGGCTATTCCTGACCCTCAGGAGACCATGACATCCGGTGGGCTCAGTACCACACCAGGCAGCACATGTGGACTCTGCAGTAGAAAGAGGTCCAAGCTGAACTTCCTCCCAAGGGCTCAGTCCCATAGACAGGGTCCAGGCTTTCCTGGGCCCTCACCTAGAAGCTGTTCAGCAAAGCTGCTCCATCCAGCAGGTCCTAAGACACCTGAGCATCCCTAATACCTAGGTCTCATCTTAGAAACCAATGGTAGAACCCTCCGGGGAAAGTATCAGGCCAGGGTCTCTACAGCCAGGCACATCTGGACAGAAAAGCCTCCTGGGGTGGGGGGTAATCTCCCCGGGGGAAAGGAGAAAGGAGTGAGGGTGTGGGTCAGACAGTGAAAAAGAAAACTGTTATGGGAGAGATGCAGAGAAACAGCATGGAGCACTGGAAAGGAAGGCCCAAGAGGCAGAAGCCAATAGAGCAGGAGACAAAAGAAATGGGGCTTGCACGGGACAGGTGGCAAAGGACCCCCTGAGTGCTGGACTTGGGGATGTGAGGACCCTCTCCCCAGGGGAGACACCCTGGTGCTGAGGGAAGCTCGTCAGCACCTACCAAGGAAATGCTGGTCCCCACCTGCAAAAACTGCAGTAGGGACCAAAAGGTACAGCACACATGGCCAGACGGGAAGAATAAATCCCAGCACGCAGGAGGCTGAGGCAGTTTGGATCAAAAGTTGGAGGACGGCTCAGGCTACATAGTGAGACCTCGTCTCAAAGGAAAAGAGGAAAAGAAAAGGAAAGAGCAAAAGGGAGAGGTGGAGCGGGAGGGTGGAGAAGGGCCAGTACTTCAGGCAGAGACGGGCAAGGGTGACCCAGGCTCAGTGCTTGTTAAACAGCAGCTTTTCAGACAGACCTGGAAAGGGCGTGGCCAGAAAGGGGAAGAGGAGGAGCAGGAGGGGAACACACCAGAATTACCTGATCAAGTGATAGCTGTGAGATGCCAGAGTGCAGCAGAGAGGGGGAGGGGAGAGAGGAGGGACATGCGCCATCAGAGCAGGATGGGACAGAGAGAGAACGTCAGTCAAGAGCCAACCCCAGCCCCTCGGTTCCTGGTTGCCTAGGGCCCAGGCTGGCCCAACATCTTTCCCTCCCCGGTCCACCCATTCCACCCGTGGCAACCACATGCCAGCTGTCTAAAGGGGTATGGGAGGTTCCAGCTGGCAGAGTAGCACTGGGTCCTCCCAGGAGTGAGCCCATGCCCTGGCTGACAGTGGGCAGACTGGCCACTGAGGGCTCAGTGTCCTCCAGATACCACACAGCAGCAGATCGGGGCAAGGTTTGGCCTCATTCTAGAGGCCCTCCAGCTTCTGCTGAGGGCGGGGCCTGGGCCTGCTGAGGGTAGGCTGGTTATAGACCCCTCATTCTAGAGGCCCTCCAGCTTCTGCTGAGGGCGGGGCCTGGGCCTGATGAGGGCGGGGCCTGGGCCTGCTGAGGGTAGGCTGGTTATAGACGCTGGGGTCTACTCACTTCTGGAGCACGAAGATGCCGATGATGAGGCTGAAGGAGATCAGGTCGGCGGTGACCCACATGAGGCAGGGCTGGTCAGGGGGCTGTGGAGAGATGACCCAAGAGCACTTTCCAGTCACGGCTCATCTAGACAAAGGGGCCATAGACTATGGGCCCTCTTACATTAGACTAATGAGGAAAGGCACGGGAGGAGCTTGAGGCTCCTCAATATATTATTTTGTAAGAGTGGACTCTGGATATATTGGGCTATGTGTGTGTGTGTGTGTGTGTGTGTGTGTGTGTGTGTGTTTGGGGTAGAAGTGGTATGTTGAGTCTCCAGTATGTGTAAGCTTACAGAGCTCAAAGCAAGAGCCAAATGATAAAAGATGGGTCCTTCATTTGCATGTAAGGTGTCATGTGCCTGGCAGATGGATATATGACTCTACAAATAGGTATGGGGCACCTGTGTGGGGCAGGAGGACACTGATCACAGCACCTGGGGAAAACAAAGCCCCATGTGTGTAGCCTCTGCACACTCAACCTCAGACAAATGGGGGGTGGGCACTTTTGGGGGACCACAACTCCGTGATGCCTAAACACTCAAATATGCATACTTCTGCTGCCTGTCTGTTAGTTATTCCGTGTCACCTTAGAGGAGTGCTGGGAATATTTGAGGACCACGGGCAGATGAGAGCTGGAAAGCGGCTCTTTCAGGTTTGGCAGGGGTCATGATGAGTTGCATCAGTCTAAAGCTCACGGCCCAGGCTTCCATAGCTTCCTGTCCATGTCTGAGGCTCTCTTCTGCCTTGCCCACACATCTTTTCTTGACACCACCTGTAACTTAGCTCTGACTTGCCAGCACTGCAGCCCTCTTAGCTCCGGAGCCCTCTTTTGTCTTTGTGTCCCCAGGGACATGGCAGGGGAGCCTTTGCCTCACTCCTGGGATTACCTCAGGGGCAGGGATGGGAGCTCAGCTGGTCTCAGGTGCTCCATGGCTGACCCCCACACACTCCTCACGGTCTTCCAAGTAGGCTGCCCTGTCCCCAGCCTCTTTCTGGAACAACTTTCCTTTAAAACCAAATCTAGCCGGGTGGTGGTGGCACATGCCTTTAATCCCAGCACTTGGGAGGCAGAGGCAGGTGGGTCTCTGTGAGCTCGAAGCCAGCCTGGTCTAGGAAGCAAGTACCAGGCATGCCTTTAATCCCAGCACTTGGGAGGCAGAGGCAGGTGGGTCTCTGCGAGCTCGAAGCCAGCCTGGTCTAGGAAGCAAGTACCAGAACAGCCTCCAAAACTACACAGAGAAACCCTGTCTTGAAAAACAACCTAACAAGTAGCAGATGACCCATGGAGCTGTTAGCTTCTTGAGTGTCAGTCACTAGGCTATGTGACCTTTCCATGAGTCAGGCCCAGGTCCCTAGCATTTCAATGCATACCTCAGAAGTTGTGACAGTTCCAGTCTGCCTTAGCCTATAGTCCCCCTTCCCAACATGGATGCCACCATCCCAGGTTCTCCCTAGGGGGAGCCCTTGCAGGTTACTGATAGCCCTAGAAGTTCTCAGGCTCTCAATCTCCAACTTACCATGATCCAGAGTGGAGAAGGCACCCGAGAAAGGGTATGGGAGTTGTCAGAAGTGACGGATGGAACCCCGGCACACCACAGCAGGGAGAAGAGCCATGGTGCATTGACAGTGTAGAGGTTTACACTCAGGTTCCAGGATGCATAGTCCCTGGGCAGGGGACAGAGGGTGGTCAGCTGTCTCTAGCTGCTTTGTTGCATGAAGCTGGAGGAGCACCCCTGATAGGCTGTCACCATTACAGCCACCCCGGGAGGAAGGTGTATCTGTGTCCATGCTCATAGGACAAGCCCAGCTCTGCCCAGTGCTTCCCACCTCACATCCCAACAGTGTGCTCAGGCTCCCTGTGTGTTCTGCCCTGTGCCCACATGTGTTATGAGTGGAGGGTTAAACTGAAGGATACACAGTCCCTCCCTCCTCCAGGGGCACCTGGCTTGGCACAGGGCAGGCACCTGAGCTCCTGGTGGGACACCTGAGTGTAGCGAAGGTTCAACTTCTGGATGTGACCTCTCCGTAGGTTGGCGATGGCTTCTTTAGACCCAGATGTTTGCTGGAAGCCAGGAGCCATCTTCCGTACTAGAGGCCTCTGCCTGTTAGGCAGCCACATGACCTGGCAGCAGGAGACAAGGTGGTCAGGCCTCTCATTTTCAGATTTGGGGTGAGGGCCCTAGCTCTCCTAGACCCTTCAAGGGTCAAAGAGAGGCCTGTCCACAGTAATGGAGCCCATAGAAAACAACTCAGGCAGCTTCCCTGGTCAAGACAAGATGGGCAACCCCACCCTCCCCTCTTCTGACCCCAGTCAGCAGCATCTAGCGAACTGTATGTCACAGAGTGGCTTCAGTTTCCCAAAGTGTCACACAGGGAAGCTGTAGTCTGGAGAGGGGACAGGTGAGTCTATCGTGGTGCAAGAGGCTAAGCCAGGGTCACCTGCAGGGCTTCACCTGATGCTGTGGGAAGCCTGAACGTAGCACGGTCTCCAGCGTGATGTTGAGGAAGCTGCCACGGTATGGGTGATCACGGGGTGGGTCTCGAAGATTGAGCAACAGTGTGGCATTGCCCTTGGCTAGCTCCAGGAGCTCTTCCAGGCTACAGATGGACTGGTTCTGGACCTCCCTGTGGTCTGAGGGTGATAGGGAGCTGGCAGTCCAGAAGGGGTCAGTCTGGTAGAGACAGGGACATACAAGGCTGTCACCAGCCCTTCAGAGCTTTCAAACACTTTCCTGGTGGCCAGTGACTGCTGGTATGTTGCCAGTTGATGGCTGTGGCCTGGTAGGGGGTCTTAGGATTGCCTAACCTTCACCTCAATGGCCCCAACCTGCTTCCCAAGAGAACCATTTGCTTGGAGCCATTTCAGTGTGGCTTTGATTCCATTATGTAGCCAAGATGACATTGAATTGATCCTCTTTGTCTTCATCTCTAGCACTGAGGTTACCATACCCTACCAAGTATATGAGGTGTTAGGGATTGAACCCAGGGCTAGGTACATGCTAAGCAAGCGCTCTACCAACTGAGTTACATCCCCAGCCCTAGAGCTACAGCTTTCACAAGACTACTAAGGATCAGCATCCTTGAGAGGGAAAGCCAATAGACTAGAGACCCCTTAACAAGCAGTGATAGCTATGGGGTCTGGATGCAAGAGCTCAGAGGGGGTTGCTGGCTAGCCTGGCTAGGGTCATCTGAGCTGATGGCCACCTGCCTCCTTCTTTAGGAGCCTTCCATGTCTCCCATGCCTAAGGCAGGCCCAGGTACAGGCAGACCTTGAGGAACCACTGGCCGGCGTTGAGCCTCTGCAGGACAGTCCAGTTGAGCATGGCGGCAGGCCTGCGGGCTAGCTCAGGGAACAGCTGCTCCACATTGGTGGTCCGCCTCAGGGTGGTGTCATGCATGAGAAAGGGCACACCGTCCAGGCTGCAGGAGAGGGTCACTGTCACCACCCACTCAAGGCTATCACCTGTCCCCAGTTACCACCCTCCCTTCTCTCCACTGTCAAAGGACACAGCTATTCTGTTTCCATCTCAGCTACTGACTCCGCACCAACACAGGGAGAGTACTGGGCCAGTGGGAACTCCAAAGGGTTCAAGGAACAAGTCCTTTGACTCTTCATGAAGGTCAAGTGGGGAAGACAGCTGAGGAAGGGAGGGCTGGGAAAGGGGTCTGGTCACTTAGCAATGTTAGAAGGTAAGTACTCCCTCACTTGATAATGGGGGAAACTGAGGTTAAGCAGGAAGCACTTAGCTCAAGGTCAATGGCCACTAAGTGGTGGAACCTGGCCTCAAACCAAGTCCCTGAAATGCCATATTGATAACAGTGCCAGCACAGGTCCCTTTGACAAAGTTCACATACTTCCCTCATCCTTATCATCCCACCAGGGCTGGCCACAGTTCATAGAGTGCTGTGGTGTGAAACAATAAAGGGCACCATGCTTCCCACGTCTCAAGGCATTTTATCAGCTCCTGCCGGAAAGGTATGCTGCCCATAATTTATGCTGTCCACACTGGGAGTGGCACCCTCACATACATTACATACATAGTCGTTGTTTACTGTACACCCTGTGGAGTAGTATTTGGTGTCCCTGCCTTCTCCTCTCCTCAGGGGTGTCTGTGTATGTTTCCCCATCATTTATGCTATTACTCATGCTGTATCTATAGATGAAAATGTGCTCATCACTTCTGTCTTGTTTTGTTTTGTTTTTCAAGACAGCATTTCTCCATGTAGATCAGGCTATCACAGAGATCCGCCTGCCTCTGCCTCCCGAATGCTGGGGTTAAAGGTGTGCGCCACCACTGCCTGGCTTCTGTTTGGTCTTGAATCCAGCACTACTGTCATTGCTTCACTTAGCCAAGTGTTTGCACTCTACTGGCAGAGAAACATAGATCTAATTCTCTTTCTAATGTGTCCATGGCAGGGCTCCAGGTCCCCATACCTAACCCTCCCTGAGTAGAAGTGAGTCTGTTCTTTATATTCTGGAGTCTGGCACAAATCTCATTTGCACTGAAAGGGTGTCTGGGCTGTGTGGACCATCCATGTCTCCGGCTTCCCATCACTAAGGCAGGGGCAGAAGGTTTTACCCAGAGGCCCAAGTGTAGATGCTAGGGATGGGCGTGGGGTGAGGAGTGTAGGGGGAGTGGGGAGGCTTCCACTACCCTTCTGTGCCATGCCGACCTGATGGTGACGTCAGCTTGTAGCCCGTACAGCTTCTGCTCCAGGGCCTTCCGGAAAGACATCAGCGTGTGTTCTGGAGCCAGCTGGAGAAGAAGGGGTAGTGAGGGCAGAGCTAAGGTCCCTGATGACCCCTCCCCAGCCAGGGCGTAGTCTTTCCTGCTTGGAGGTCTGCCTCTCATCCTGGCTCATTTGTGGAGTTTCTGTGGGAACCCCGGTACCCACACACCTGTTTGAGGCTCAGTTTTTCTCATTTGTTAGGGCATGAGTACCCTACAGGGGACTGCGGTGAGGGGCGGCAGTGTGCCGAGTATGGACTCATGTGAAAGCCTGACACAGCAGGACTAGCAAACAGTAACTCTAACTCTAGCACCCCGGCTGCATTACAGGCACTGAGCAAGACTCTGGAAGCAAATTGCCTTTTCCACAGGCCTGTGGCCCTGTGGCAGCCTTAAGCAGAGATTGAGTGCCTAGTTCCTTCTGGATTAATCTCAGACCCCAGTCCTGGTGGAGATTCTGGAGGGGGAGGGAGAGGAGATGGGGTTTCTGTGATGTGATGAGTTTCTTCACATTCTCCCTATCTATACACTAACACATGGACTAAAACGCAGACATGCTTGACACCCAATTTAATAAGCAGATCACCCAAATCACCCAGCCATTGCACTGTGTGACCCTGTCTTGCAACCTTGGTGAACTCTTCTTCCTAAGGACCCACCTCTTCTTCTGCCTATTGGGGATGTGGGCTCACTGGGGAGTGAGATTTCAAGTCTTCCGGTCCATGCAGAGTAAATTGTCATACCTCCTCCTAACACTAGAGGTCAGCACCAAACCAGAGATTGGATTTAGACCTAGCAACTCTAAAGGATGGCAATCATTTAAGAAGGCCACATGAGCACACACTTGGTGACCCTGGGCACAGTCGTTCACAGTGACATGGAGGAGGCACTGGCTGCCCCCCCCCAAGCCAGCACTGTAAGCCTGCAAGACAGCTTAGTAAGTAAAGGTTCTTGCTGCCAAGCTTGATAACCTGAGTTTAAACCACAGGATGGAATGGTAGGAGGGAATGGACTCCAACCGATTGTCCTCTGAATATCCACGTGTGTTCTGAGGTATAAATCATACACCCAGATTTTAAAAATGTTTTTTTTTAAGTTGTCCTCACAGAAGTAAAGAGCAGAATGGTGATTAACAGAGGCTAAGAATGGGGAAAGAAAGGCTAGTTACCAGGCAGAAATGATAGGCAGGGGAAATAGGTTTGGGCAGTCTACAGCAGTGGGGGTCTGAAGTAAATGATAATTTCCTGTACATTCTGAAACAGACAGAGGAGAGCATTCTGAATGTTCCAAACGCAATGAAACAATGTGTGAGGTGACAGGTGAATGAGTCACTTTGATGTGCGAATAATACACTGTACACACATGTGAGAATAATACCCTGACCTGTAAATATGCATCAATATCCTATGTTGGGTAAAGTTAAAAAAAAACATAAAATGAACACCACAACCAGGCATGTGGCACACATCCCTGTAACCTCAACACTCAGGAGGGTGAGACAGAGGTTTGTGAGTTCCAAGCTATTTCTGGACTGCACACTGAGACCCTGTCTCAAAAATGAAATAACAGACAAAATGAGCAAGCCACCACAAGGATGCAAGCAGCCAAATGCACAGCTTGGGAGACTGTCTAGTGACAGCTTTGTCAACAGATAAATAGCACAAAGGAGAAAGGGGGGTTGTCATAGAATAAAAGGCACCAAGGAGACATGTGTCAAGCAGATGGGCTGCATGATGTCATTTGGATCCTGATTTTTAAAATCTGTACTACAAAAAGATATTTTGGGAGACAATAAAGGAAAACTAAACTATGATATTAGGTCATGTTAAATAATTGTTAATCTGGGGGCTGGAGAGATGGCTCCGAAGTTAAGAGCACTGGGCTGTTCTTCCGGAAGACCTGGTTTGATTCCCAGCCCCCACATGGCAGCTCACACACAATTCCATCCAGTCCCAGGGGATCTGACACCCTTTTCTGTCCTCCACGGTGCCAGGCAAAACAACCATACACATAAAAATGAAAATAAATACTTTTAAAAATTGTTAATTTGGTGGGGCATTATAATCATCATTATGTAGGTGTGTGTGTGTGTGTGTGTGTGTGTGTGTGTGTGTGTGCAAGCATTCACGCACATCCCTTTACGAAATCTTCTATCTTTATGTGGGATCTAGGGATTGAACTTGGTATGCCAGGCTTTCATTACAAGTGCTGTTTCTGACAGAGCCATCTGACCCAGCCTGCTGTTTGTTTTTAAGTCCTTATGTTCTGGGTGGGTGGCATATGCCTGTAATCCTAGCACTCAGGAGGCAGAGACAGGAAGGTTGGTAGTAGTTTAAAGCCAGCTTGTCTCAAGCAGATCAAACCACAACAGAAAGTCCTTCTGTGTCAAAGACCCATCCTAAAGCATGCACAGGCTGTCTAGAGCTCACCTCACTACAGCAGAGGAAAACTAGGAGAGCAGAGAGGCAGGAACAGCAGGCTGTTACAAAGCATGAAAGGCAGTAATAGCATTACGTGGTACAACATAGTATTTTTCCACTTGGTGTATGTCTGAATTTCTTTACTAAGGCTTCCCTTTCCCATCCTGCACAACAGCCTCCAGCCCCACAGAGGCTGGCCCCTCCTGGGAAGGTCAGCTTTTAACTTCTCTTCACTGTGTATGTCTGAATTTCTTTACTAAGGCTTCCCTTTCCCATCCTGCACAATAGCCTCCAGCCCCGCAGAGGCTGGCCCCTCCTGGGAAGGTCAGCTTTTAACTTCTCTTCACAGTAGCAATAGCATGGGCACCCCGAACTGAGTCTCAAAGGGGCTGGTGACCTCCACAATACACATAGACAGCAAACTGAACCTCCATCCAGATTCCATTGGCTGCCCCTAGGAGGCACCAGGCTCAGCACCAGCATGGGGTTCAATAGGAGGGTCCAGCTCAGCACAGGCCTGTGAGGATTTTTCTAGAAAATAACACCTGAATTATGTGTAGGGAAGGACTTTCAGGTGGGATTGTGGTCCTATAAGACATGCTTTGTATTTTGCTTTTGGTGTGTGTGTGTGTGTGTGTGTGTGTGTTACATGTGTGCACATGAGAGGGTAGAGGCCAGAGGCTGATGCTCATGTCTTCTTCTGTCCCCCTTCACCTTGTACCCTGAGTTGGGGTCTCTTCCTTGAACCCAGAACTCACCTGCTGAGCCCGACTGCCCCTGCTCCTGACTCTACCCACTGGAGAGCTGGGATTACTGACTGGCTACCAGGCCCTCCTAGCATTCCCGTGGATGCCAGGGATCTGAACTACAGTCTTCACACTTGTGTACCAATTGCTTTACTCTGGGACATCTAGGGCTTAGATGAGGACTGGGGATGTAGTGAATTTGGTTACAATGCTTGCCTAGCATGAAGTCCTGGGTTTGAACCCCAGCATAGCAAAAACCTGGCTTGGTGGTTTATGCTTTCAATCCCAGAACTTGGGAGGTAATGAAAGAAGGATTTAAATTCAAGATCATTCTGTGCTACACATTGAGATGGAGGCTAGCCTGGAACACGTGAGACCCTTCCTCAAAACAAAACAAAAAAATAAAACACATTACTGGGATGAAAACAGCAACTTGTGAATGCTTACCAAAGCACACAACCACTGAGCCAAGCACCCTACCATTGAGCTATGTCCAAATTCAAACACATCTTTTGCTATTTATTATTTTTAATGATTTATTTATTTTTATTTTATGTGCATTGGTGTTTTGCCTGCATGTATGTTTGTGTAAGGGTGTCAAACCTCTGGAACTGGAGTTACAAACAGTTGTGAGCTGCCATATGGGTACTAGGAATTGAACCCAGGTCCTCTGGAAGAGCAGCCATTGCTCTCAACTACTGAGCCATCACTCCAGCCCTTATTTTGGTTTTTAAAAATAGGATCTCTCTCCATAGCCCTAGCTGTCTTGGAACTCATGATGTAGACCAGGCTAACCTCACACTCACAGAGATCCACCTGCCTCTAACCACCCAAGTGCTGGGATAAAAGATATGCGTCACCACGCCTGAGTTTTTTAAACTTTTTTTTTTTTACTATTTTTAATTACATGTATGTGTGTATATGTGCAT